CTCAAACTCACAGAGATCCACCTGGCTCTGCCTCCCGAGTGCTGGGATTAAAGGCGTGCGCCACCACCGCCCGGCATAAATTTATAGTTTTCAAAGCCAATCGAGATGTATATAACTACTGAATTAAATTTATCATGCCCAATAGAATGAAAGATTAACTAACTGTGGTAGCTACATTTGTTGCCAGGGTCTCCACTGTGCTAGCTGTAGTAAGCAATTATGAAATGGTAATCCCAGAAACAGTAGGAGCGGTGGCCGTCATTGCTATAACAGCAACAGCGGCAGCAGCAATGTCAAATTCTCTTCTCCAGTGTGTGGACATCCACTGGCATGGATACAACTCCAGGAACACGAACCGCCAAGGCCCATTTTTCTTGATCCCAGCACGACTTTAGCTGGCAGCTCTTCTGGAGAAGCCAATCTCATGGCTACAGTTACTAGGCTTACATTAATGCTTGCCAAAGCTGGCCATATTGGGCTCTCAATCTCTGTTGGCATCAGAAGGGTAGATTTTTTTCATGAAGACCCATTAGGTCTCTGTCATGTTGGGCTTCAGCAGCAGCCACAGGGCGTGTTCAGTGCTCAGGAATCCAAAGAGGAACCTCATTGTCCTGAGGAAAGACATAAACAGAACCCTGGGGCCACACCAACACTAGATCGGGTCTCCTCCACGTGCTAGTAGAAAGATCCTTCCATCGCTCCAGAGGGTGATTTGCAACAGGGGCCCTCCAGTGCTTATCTGTATCGGATACTCCAGCAGAATCCACCGATAAAAAATTTAAACTATAAGCCAGGCAGTGGTGGCGCACGCCTTTAATCCCAGCACTCGGGAGGCAGAGGCAGGCGGATCTCTGTGAGTTCGAGGCCAGCCTGGGCTACCAATGTAAGACCAAAATGAGCCATCTTAGAAATACTTTTACCCAAAAATTAAGGCCTAAGATTTCTCCTTTTGGGAATAGGCCATTAGTTACTGAAACCAGTCAGTTCAGATTCCAGAAACCAGGAAGTGTAAAAGTATAGAGTCACAAGATAGTCACAAGGTAATGCCTGCCGGACTATGGAATGTCCTCTCCCTAGTTTCCAGGGTAACTGACCACAGAAATGCCCCCACCTGAGGGCAGCCAATGAGAAATGGTGGTGGGCAACCACTCCCTTAGAAGTAATTTCTAGAAGTCCCTAGAAACGAGCCAATCAGAATTGTATCCATACTAGCACCCCTAAATGATGTAACCGTGTGACTTTTCCCTTTAAAAACTGAGCTTGCAGACAGGCGGGCGCTTCCTCCAGCCTCCACTGCGTTGGATGTATTGGACGAAGTCCCTGCCTAGGCTTGTATTGCTTTTGGATATCCAGAATTAAACCTTGCTTTTGCATTCCGGCATGCTCGTCTTTGGTGGTCTCTCTGGGGGTCACGATCTGGGCACAACACCAAGTGAGTTCCAGGAAAGGCGCAAAGCTACACAGAGAAACCCTGTCTCAAAAAAAAACAAAAAAAAAATTTTTTTTTAATATATAAAACAAGAGAAAGAATAGAGTGTGGAGAGGAATGATGAGTCCCTAGTTCTCCTTTTTTACTTTAGTAAAATGTTTGTTTGTTTGTTTGTTGGTGTAATATTTCAAATTTTTCTTTTATTTTTATTTATTTTTTATTGCTTAAAATTAATTATTTTTTTCTATTATCAACTTGATACAGTATGTATTCTTACCTTAATAGTGAGATGTTTCCTTGAGGCTTGCTCAGGAATTGAGTAAAACCGAAATTTATTATAAGCCACAGTCATCCTAGGGACCTCCATGCTATATATATAGCCTCCATGGTTCTATGGGTTGTAGTCTGTTCTTTATTTTATATCTAGAATCCACTTATGAGTGAGTACATACCATGACTGTCTTTCTGAGTTTGGGTTACCTCACTCAGGATGATTCTTTCTAGTTCCATCCATTTGCCTGCAAATTTCATGCTTTCATTGTTTTTCTCTGCTGAGTAGTACTCCATTGTGTATATGTACCACATTTTCTTCATCCATTCTTCAGTTGACAGGCATATAGGTTGTTTCCAGGTTCTGGCTATTACAAATAGTGCTGCTATGAACATAGCTGAGCATGTATCTTTATGGTATGAATCAGCATTCCTTGGGTATATGCCCAGGAGTGGTATGGCTGGGTCTTGAACCCTGCAGGGTACTCTTAAGGAGTGAGGGATAGGAAATTTAGACAGAAATAAAGAAGAGAGACAGGTAAAAATACATGATAGCCTCGGGAGAGCCTGGATCCTTATCCACCAACCCCTTCTGTCTCTGCTAAAGAGTTTTTAAAGGAATGCCAAGGAATGGAGCAAAAGACCGCCCGCCCCCCAGCACAGTCAATTGCAGAACTTCCAATCACCTGGTGACCACGCACGTGGTCAATCCATCCCCTTATGCATCCCTGCATAAAGGAAGCTCAGATCTCATTAGGAAACCACTGTGGACCCCAACACCTTCCTTCCTTTCTTTCTATTTTTCTCTCTTTTTTCTTTCTTCCTTCCTTTCTTTCTTCAGACAGGGTCTCTCTACATGGCTCTGGCTGTCCTGGAGCTCACTGTATAGACCAGGATGGCCTCAATACTCGCATGTGATCCACCATTCTCTGCCTCCCCAGTGCTGGGATTAAAGATGTGCACTACAACACCCAGCTTCCCTTTCACGTTCTTATTTCGTGTGCTCTGTTATCCTGCCACTGCTCTTCACAAAGCCCTGGCTTTCCTCCTTCTAGGACCCCTGGTTCCTTACTCTAAATTCATATACATATGTAAAAATTAGGCACCAGGCAGTGGTGGCACAAGCCTTTAATCTCAGCATTCGAGAGGCAGAAGCAGGTGGATCTCTGTGAGTTCGAGGCCAGCCTGGGATACAGAGTGAGTTCCAGGAAAGGCACCAAAGCTACACAGAGAAACCCTGTCTCAGGGGAAAAAAAATAGAAGCTAAGATTCCAATATAAAAGAGACCATGTGATGTCTGTCTTTCTTAGCCCAAGTTACTTAATATAGTATTTTTCAAATCCATCCATTGTCCTGTGAATTGAATGATTTTGATTTTTTTTCTGGCTGAGTGTTTTATTAATTCGTTGACAATTTCATACATATAAACGACTGAGTCTTGATAATATTCACTCCCAACTCTCTCCCACTCTTGCTGCCCCATTCCCAATCCATCCCTTTTTTCCCTTTGTGTCAAAGTTTTTCTTCATTTTTTGTTGTTATTGTTTTTGTTTTTTGTTTTTTTCCAGACAGGGTTTCTCTGTGTAGCTTTGGTGCCTGTCCTGGATCTCGCTCTGTAGCCCAGGCTGGCCTCGAACTCACAGAGATCCACCTGGCTCTGCCTCCCGAGTGCTGGGATTAAAGGCGTGTGCCACCGCCGCCCTGAAACCAGTACTCTTCTTAACTGCTGAACATTTCTCCTGCCTGTTACTATATTTGAGACAAGGTCTCACTAAGTAGCCCTGGTCTGGACCTCACCATGTAGACCAAGCTAGCCTCAAACTCAAAGATCCACTTGCCTCTGCCTCCTGAGTGCCGGGCAAAGTTTTTATTTCCGAGACAAGGTACCTGCCATGACTCATCATTTAGGCGCTGACACATTGGCTTAATGAGCTTGGGGAAGGTTCTTTCTCCCTAATGTCAATAAGGGTTAAAAGCAGTCGATGGTTATTTTTAAAACAACCTGTCCGGTCTGACAGGAAATTAACAACCTGCTTCCGTTTTACCCTTTATCTTTTACCTTACCAGTACTCGGGATGAGTTGTCATCATTGCCAAGGGCTTGTGCTAGGATGGTGCTTCTCCAAAGAGTTGTGATTGTTGAAAATATGCTCTCTCTTTCCTCCCCTTGCCTCGAGGCTGGGTGAGGTAATCCGGCATGGAGAACAGGTTCCCCAAAGCCAGCTAAGTGCAAGGGACAGGTCCTGAGCTCACTGCTAGGAGCCTTACAAAGAGATCAAGCAGAGGGTCTAGGTCGGTACCATGGAGGGTCCCTAGCTGCTGGTCCAGAGTCCATGAGCTCCCGCAAGCTCGGGTCAGCTGTTTTTGCAGGTTCCCCTGTCATGACCCCCATCATACAATCCCTCCTCCCTTTCTTCAGGAGGATTCCCAGAGCTCAGCCCAGTGCTTGGCTGTGGATCTCTGCATCTGCTTCCATCAGTTACTGGATAGAGTATCTCTGATGACAATTGGGGTAGTCACCAATCTGATTTCAGTAAATGGCCAGTTCAGGCACCCTCACCACTATTGCTTGGAGTCTTAGCTGGGGTTATCTTTGTGAATTCCTGGGGGTTTTCCTGGGACCAGGTTTCTATGGGGAAGGACTTTTAAAGGGGAAAATCTCACGAAAGCCTTCAATACTTATGTAAGTAAGTAGAAACTGTTTTATTCTGCCATGTTAAGTGGTTAAGACAACTCAAAACAATTTTTGGGTATCTATGTAAGTAAAAAAAAGCAGTTAGTCATATCATAACAAGTAGGCAGGGATGTACATTCATTTTTGGGTGGGAGGGGTCACTGAGTCAGGGTTACTGAGAACTTATCTTCCAGCGACTGGAGTCAGAGACAAATGGCTGGTGGGTATCAAGGCAAGGGCGGGTACTAGATGGCTGCCTAGCATAAAATGGAGCTTCTTTAGCTATAACCCTATAACTCCAGTGCCAGTGGATTCTACACCTTCTCTGGCCTCCTCGGGTACTGCATGCAGGTGGTGCCCAGACCGTATGTGCGGGCAAACACCCATACACATAAAATAACGAAATCTCTAGACAAACAGGGTGGGGGCATTGAGATGGCTCAGTGAGTAACTCAGTGGCTGCAAGTTCAACCCCACCCACGCAAGGGTGGAAGGAGAGAACCGATTCCACAAGGTTGATCTCACCTCTACATACATGTCATCGCGCGCGCGCGCGCGCGCGCGCGCGCGCACACACACACACACACACACACAGGGCCAGCAGCTCCACCCCTAATAATAATAATAAAAAAATCAAGTTTTTAAAAAGAAAGGCCAAGCCGGGCAGTGGTGGCACACGACTTTAATCCCAGCACTTGGGAGACAGAGCCAGGCAGATCTCTGTGAGTTCGAGGCCAGCCTGGCTCTAGGACAGCCAAGGCTACAGAAAGACACTCTGTCCTGAAAAGTGAAAAATAAGTAAATAGATGAATATATTTTTAAAATAGGCTTATACATGGTGTGTGTGTGTGGGGTGTCCCAAAGAGTTTGGAAAAGGGCTCCTTGCTAGTTTTTTGTTTGTTTGTTTGTTTGTTTGTTTTGTGATGGTGGAACAGGACTGGGGTGGGTCTGGAAGTTACTGTCTTCACAGGGTTGCTAGGAAACCTCAATGAGATGGCGGGTGGCTCCTGAGGACTCCTGCCAAGACTGCCATCTCCAAGGGCCAAGTCAAGCCCACAGCGATACCGGAGATGGGTACCTTTACTGTAAACCGTGAGATCCTCAGATGTTGTGTTCAGGAGGGAGTGAGGCCAGGCCCAAGGTCATAAGCACTCAGGCCTCGTATCCGACCGTGAAGGCAATAGAAACTCTACAGAAGCAGCCCTTCACAGAAATTATTAACTCTGCTGGGTTTGATTCGTTTTATTTTGTTTGGCCAAGGTCAGGTCAGACCTCAGCTTGTAAAGCCAAGGGAGCGAGAAAAACAGTTCCTGTTTATGAACAAGGGCAGAAAGGCTGGACTCCGAAGGCCTCAGCTCACACAGAACCCAGCCATGGCCTGCTCTGAAGGTCAGAACTCAGCTCTGGCCTTTTTGTGTTTCTAATTTGGAGAATTACTTGGTTTGGGGTTTTTTTTTTTTTTGTTTTTGTTTTTTTGTTTTTTCGAGACAGGGTTTCTCTGTGTAGCTTTGCGCCTTTCCTGAAACTCACTTGGTAGCCCAGGCTGGCCTCCAACTCACAGAGATCCGCCTGGCTCTGCCTCCTGAGTGCTGGGATTAAAGGCTTGTGCCACCACCGCCTGGCTTTTGTTTTGTTTTTAAGACAGAATTTCTCTGTAACCCTAGCTGTCCTGGAACTTGCATCAAACTCAAAGATCCCCCTGCCTCTGCCTCCTGTGTAATGGAATTAAAGGCATGCACCACCACAATCGGGCTTGGTTTTGTTTTTGGAGACAGGGTCTCACTATGTAGCCCTGGCTGGCCTGGAACTTGCTATTTAGACCAGGCTGGCTTTGGATTTACAGAGAGCAGCCTGCCTCTGAAGTGCTAGGATTAAAAGTGAGTGTCACCTTGTCCCACTGTGTCCCAGCTGGTGAAAGGCTTCAACCCTCCCTCCTCAGGTCCCCACCATTTTCCTGTCTTTCTAGCCTGCCTCAGACCAGCGATTGTACCGTGGGTGTTCGTTTAACATTACTGACCTCCACTCTTAACAATGACATATTAAAGACCAGGCCATGGTGACCCACATCTTTAATCTCTGCACTCGGGAGGCAGGGGCAGGCCTCTCTGGGAGTTCGAGGCCAGCCTGGTCTACATAGTGAATTCCAGAACAGCCAGGACTACGTAGTGAGTCTCTGTCTCAAAAAACCCAAACCCAAACCAAGTAATTCTCCCAAATTAGAAACGTGGAGAGCACAGAGCTGACGTGAAGGTGGGCCATGGCTGGGTCCTGTGTGAGCTGAGGCCGCGTCCAGCCTTTCTAAGCCTGCTCATAAACAGGAAGCAGAACACAGCACCCTGTTTTTCCTCTCTCCCTTTGCTCTCTGCAAGCTGAGGCCTGCCCTTGGCCTTGGTAACCTTGTCTGGTTATACAACCCATGCCAAACAGACTTCTGGCTCCACGCTTCCTTTTGGGGAGAAAAACAGCAGCTGACCCTTGTGCTTCGTCCCCCTCGTCCCTTATTACGGAACCCAGTCACGCGCCAGGTGTGACCTTCAGACCAGGCTGACACCCCCCCACCCCACCCCCGCAGGGACACGCAGGCAGCAGTCACCCGGCCCCACCCCCACCAGGAAACTTGGGGCCTAGCCCTGCCCCACCTCCCCTCGGCCCATCACACGCAGGTGTCCTCAGCCAATCCCTCCCTGTTGCCAGGCCCCTTTCTCGGTCCCCATTGGTGCCAGCTTGGAAGCAATCGTCCCCGGTAGCCTGCAAAGGATGGATCTGGGCGTGGAACGAACTGCCAAAGGAATCCAGTGAGTCACCGGACTTCCAGCACATTCTAGCCCTTGCCATTCTAGGTCAGGAGGTTTGGGATTTCTGGGCTGTGACTTGATACCTAGGTCCTGAGGCCAAGTGGGACATGAAGACATTGGAGTCCCTTTCGGAAAATAGACCAGCAACTGTGATGATCTGCCCCCAAGTTCTCTGTAGGGGACATCTGGGGGACACAGGATTCCATGTGGGTGGCAGTGCCTGTCACCGTGACTTGTCCATGAGTGTCTCTGGCCTCTGTGACTATTGTCCCCTCCTTTACCCTCAGGGTTGTGACAGCTTTGTTGGATGGCTCACTCCAAGCTGGGAAGCTGCTGTGCTGGGAATAGGAGCCAGCTCTGAGCCGTTTCCTCCCATCCTGCTTGTCCTGTGTCCTGAAGAAGCAGGTCACCTCTGTTTGTTGTAAGAACACACTGCTGATGGACTATTAAAAACAAAACAACAATTTGGATGTGAGCTTAGGAGGGGGATTCGGGAAGGGTGCCCAGGAAGGAGTTACAGAGAGGAAATGGGAGATATGATAAAAATACATTGTATGTATGTATGTATGAAATTCTCAAAGATTATTTTAAAATATGTAATTAAAATGGGAGGCTATGGTCTACAAAGCGAGTTCCAGAACAGGTTCCTGAGCTACACAGAGAAACCCTGTCTTGAGAAAAAGAAAAAAAAAGGTGAAATATAAATGTGAAGTTAACAAGAAGTTGTAGATTTTCACCACTGTACACAAACTCCTTTGTTACAAATAAATATTTATGCTTCTTAAAAAAAGAAAAAAAGGAGACTGGAGCCGGGTGTGGTGGTACATGCCTTTAATCCCAGCACTTGGGAGGCAGAGGCAGGAGGGGATCTCTGTGAGTCGAGGCCAGCCTGGTCTACAGAGCTAGATCCAGGATAGCCAGGGCTACACAGAGAAACCCAGTCTCGAAGGAAAAAAAATCACACCAAAACAAAAAAGATAGGTGGCTGGATTTGTGGGTAAAGGTACTTGCAAGCATGCCGGACAATATGAATTCACTCTCTGGGAGCCACGAGGCAGAAGGAGATAATCAACTTGACTGCTTTGAGCTGTCCTCTGACCTACACACACACACAAATAAATAATGTGTTTTTAAAAAAATCCATGTGTCACCGGGCGGTGATGGCGCACCCCTTTAATCCCAGCACTCGGCAGAAGCAGGTGGATCTCTGTAAGTTTTTAGGCCAGCCTGGTCCACAGAGTGAGTTCCAGGACAGCCAGGACTACACAGAGAAACCTTGCCCCGAAAGACAAAACAATAAATAAATAAATAAATAAATAAATAAATAAATAAATAAATAAATAAATAAATAAATAAATAAATAATAAAAATCCATGTGTTGACTTTTAGAGAGCTTTTCCTTTTGACAAAAATTGGCATAATTATGTATAACAAAGGGTTTCACTATATCAATGCCTTTTGATCTTTCTTTCCTTTTCTTTTTTTTTTTTTTGAGACAGAGTGTCTCTCTGTAACAGTCCTAGCTGTCCTGGAACTCTGTAGACCAGGCTGGCCTTGAACTCATTGAGCTCTGCCTGCCTCTGCCTCCCAAGTTGCTAGAATTAAAGGCGTGTGCCACCACTGCCCGGCATTTTGATCTTGTTTGTTGGAAATAAGATAATTTTTCTTTCTTTCTTTCTTTCTTTCTTTCTTTCTTTCTTTCTTTCTTTCTTTCTTTCTTTCTTCCTTCCTTCCTTCCTTCCTTCCTTCCTTCCTTCCTTCCTTCCTTCCTTCCTTTCTTCTTCCTTCCTTCCTTTCTTTTTTTTTGAGACAGGGTTTCTCTGTGTAGTTTTGGTGCCTGTCCTGGATCTCGCTCTGTAGACCAGGCTGGCCTTGAACTCACAGAGATCCACCTGGCTCTGCCTCCCCAGTGCTGGAATTAAAGGTGTGGGCCACGGCTACCCGGCAGATGATCTGTTTCTTACACATTGACCCCCATTATTCTCTCCCTTCCCCCAGACCCTCTGAACACACACTTTCCTTTTCAAGCTAAGCCTTGGCCAGGTCCAGCCCTCAAGCCTTCCTCCTCCTCTCCCTCCCCACCTCTGAAATCAAGGCTGTTGGGCTCTGAACCTTCTAGACTTTGGAAGATGCTGAGGCCACAAAGCCGATGACTCAGCCAAGGAACAGAAATCACGAGGCCAAAGCAAAGCGACAGCCAAATATAGCATGGTGTGGCCGGAGGCCGGTATCACGGTAGAACCGGCCTCGGTGTTTTGTCCCCTTCCCAACTTCTGTCTGAAATCTAGAAAGAATGGACCTGCACAGAAACCAGTCTCAGAAACCACTGGGGGCGTGTCCCAAACCCAGAGAATGACATTTTCATGTCTCAGTGGCATATGACTTCATTCATGGAAAAAAAAAATCACAAAAAATTAAAATCTGTTTTTGAACAATACCTCTGATCTTGAAATCTTATGAATTTCCAAACCGGGGAACCAGACACACCTGAAATCTCAGGGCCTAGGTGGTAGAGGCAGGAGGATCCCTGAAAGTTAGAGTCCAGCTTGGTCTACAGCGTGAGTCCCAGGGCAGACAGGGCTCTGTATGGAGATCCTGTCTCAACAAACAAAAACCTCAAAAATTGCCTCGGGAACGCTGAGATCGAAGGCCTGTGCCACCACGTCCCGCTAACATGTACAATTCTTACCTTTACATCTTATTTAATTAATTAAGGGGCTGGGGAATGGATGGAGCTTTCTGGAAAATGACTGGAGATTTCAATTAAAAATCTGGGGCTTTGGCTTGGTGTGGTGGCACACACCTTGATCCCAGCACTCGAGAGGCAGAGGCAGGAGGATTTCAGTACATCTGAGGCCAGTCTGGTCTACATAGCTTGTTGCAGGCCAGCCAGAGCAACTTAATGAGATCCTGTCTCAACAACAACAAAAAATAATAATAAAATAAATCTAGGGCCTCGATGGGTTCCATCTCTTAGGTAGGCTAAATATGAACAAAATTTTAAAAACCTGATGTTTCCTTAGTGACAATCACATTGAACCTTCTCGAATCCAAGGGCACCAAATGTAAAGAGGCTGAAAGAACAGCCTGGAAAGATCTAGTTCTGTCGGGTTTCAGGTCTATTGTCAACAGTTTTCAAGAGCTGTGTGGATTTTCTGCCTCTAATGAATTCAGATTCATTTTGCAAAATCAGGGAGAGACCGGGTCCCTTTATAATTTTTTTGTAAAATTTATTTAAAATGCCTTTTTTATTTGTTCCCCTTGTTATGAGATTTGCAGAGTCATTCCCCTTGTCACAGTGCCAGGGAGGTGAGGGCTGGGTCAGGGACGGGCCGGGACCGTGGGGGCTGAGGAGGCGAGGCCGCCAAAGGGACCCCAGGGTGACACGAGCCGAAGCCCTGGGCCCCCAGAACGCACAGAGGGCCAGGGACCCCCAAAACCGGGTTAGCGGGTGGGTGCCTTGGGCGCGGAGCCGCACTGCGCCTGCGCCGAGCTCCGCTCCTGCCGCACTGATCCGAGCCGGGTTCTCGCGCCGACCACGCCGCGGATTCGAGGACGCGTCGCACACGCTGATCCCTCCGCGAGCCCGCCCAAGGTCGCAGCCCTTCCCGGCAACACAAAGCCCCCCGCACTCTCTGGGCTCCGCACACGAACGGCCTCTGAGGTGACCTTGCTGGTCCTGGTCCGTGGCTTCCGCTGCAGAGACAGGAAGAGCCTTGGAAAGTAGTCCCAGGCCGCCTTTCCGCGGAGGGATCTCGGGGGAGGAGGGCGGGGCTTCCGAGGGTTATATAAGGCGACGCCCGGCGGGGCCGCAGCTAGTTCCGTCGAGACCTAGAGTTCCGTCGCTGCTTCTCTCCGTGTGGACTGCCGCTGCCGCCGCCGCCGCCGCCGCTGGTGAGGGGCGACCCCGCCGCACCGGGCGCGGGAGGACGGGAGGGGGGTGATTGGCTGGGAAGGGGGCGAGGGGCCAACCCGCGGGGCCTGGGCGTTCCGTTTCCGTGGCCCGCGAGGGAGCGGCGAGGCGGAGGGCCGGGGCGGCAGGCAAGATGGCGGCCCAGCGGAAGCCCAAAGGGGAGGACGCGCGGCCCTGATGCGCAGGACGAGGTTGGGGGAAGCGGGGCCGCTGCCGCCGGTTCGCCCGGGCACCTGCCGGCGCTAATACATATGATTTATTTCTCTTTGGCGGGTTGCGGGCCATAGGTGCCTCTGATGGGAGAGCGGTTGGGGCCGGGGGGGGGGAGGGGAGTCTGGCTGTCGCGAGAGGTCGGTCGGGTTTTGTCTTTTGGGTTTTTTTATCCGTTGCTAAAGACGGAAGTGCGATGGCGACGTGGGGAGGGGGGCGCGCGCGGCGGGAGGTGGCGGTACCCCCCTGGCCTCCGCCCGCCACTCCCTTCCCCCCCACCCCGTGACGTCGCGGTTTCTATGGGCTCATAATGCGAGGTGAGGCCGTTTCCCTGAAGTGTAGCTGTCCCTCCGTTGTAGGACAGGAGGGTTTGGGACTCGGCCTCGGGTAGCCAGTCTCTCCCGAGTGGACAGGAACCGGAAATCCAGAGAGGGGGGGAAGGCGAAAAAGTGAGCCCTAGATTGAGTTTCTGGTTTCTTGTCCTGTTTTCGTTTTGAGAGAATCTAGCTGCGTAGCCATGGCGGGCCTGGAACGCTAGGCCAGGGTGTCCTCAAACTGTCAGAACCCGGGCCTCTACCCCCCACGGGATGGGATTCATGGCCTGCGCTATCACCCCAGACTTTATAATAGTCTCGGGTTTCTGCAGTTTCAATCCTGGTGCTCAGGTTGGAACTATTCGGGTTACTCCCTTGTGGGTCTCTTTTTTTTTCCTTAACTGTTTTTGTCCACAGTGTGTATTCTGACCCAAGTTTGTTCTTTTGGGGGGTAGGAGGGTTGAGATAGAAGATCTCTGGGCTGTCCTCCCAACTCAAGAGATGTCCATGTCCAGGTCTCCTTACTGCTGAGAGTAAAGGTGTTCACAGGCTCAGACCTCAGTTTTTAGGCAGTCTGTATTTGTTGCTGGCTATATAGACAAAACTGGGTCTGATTTCAGGCCTATTTTGGGGTGGATCCTCCCATTGGCCACAGGTGTGAATGTGGACCAGGCTTTCCTCCAAGCTCTGCAAATAGCCAGGAAATGACTTCCAGCCATTGGTACTACAGTCTCCATCCTGCCAAGTTGGTGATACAGACAGGGCTCACCATGTCTAGGTGTCCTTGTTGATTTATTTTTCAAGACAGGGTTTCTATGACCTTGAACTCACAGAAATCAGTCTATGCCTCCCAGTGCTGGGATTAAAGGCGTACACCACCACCCCTATTGCTCCTTAATAGGTTTCCTGGCTTATTTGAAGTACTGTTTTAGGTTTTGTGTGTTTTTGTTTTTTGTTTAATTTAGAAAAAAATTCTTGACATGGTCTGTAACTAGAATGTAGCTATGTGGACTAAGCTGGCATCAATTTCAATGGGATCCAACTGTTAGTGCTACACCCCTAACAAATGTGTAATTCCTGACTTTCTTTGTTTCTGTTTTTCCCTGTGTGTTGTGTGTATGTGTGTGTGTGACAGACAATGCAGATCTTCGTGAAAACCTTAACTGGTAAGACCATCACCCTAGAGGTCGAGCCCAGTGACACCATCGAGAATGTCAAGGCAAAGATCCAGGACAAAGAGGGTATCCCCCCTGACCAGCAGAGGCTGATCTTTGCAGG